AAATCACATTATAAATCATTATAGAATTATATGTAAAATAAATATATAAAGCAATATAATTATATGTATATAAAACGTATAAGATAATATATTCACTTTGTTAATTTTTTTCACTCTATCATTTTACCAAACAGTTTCAAACTTTCCTCCAGGTGAGGCATTTCGGGCTAATGCGATTGTCTTATCCAAACAGTGATTGTTTACGTGACAGTACGAGAGTAGTGAGCACCTTTGCAGAGGCTGGGGTTTGGGGTTCCTTTGTCTGATCAGGAGATGATTTGGGGGAACCCCTCAGCTAATCAGGTGTATAATGTGAATCATATTTAAAAGTAAAATATATGACGAGAGTACAGAAGTCATTGGAAATATACTGTTGTAAGGTTCTTGTGTAGTTTGTGAAATAATTTTTTGAGGGTAGCATATAGTTAAAGATGCATATTGTTTAAAATTGGGAAAAGAACTTGAATAGATATTTCTCCAAAGAAGATATACCAATGCCCAATAAGCACACTTGAAGAGAAGCTCAACATCACTAGTAATTAGGAAAATGCAAATCCAAACCATAGTGAGACACCACTTCATAGCCATTAGGATGGCTGCCATTAAAAACGAAAAAGAGAGAGAGGGACAGTAACAAGTGCTGGTGAGGATGTGGAGAGGCTGGAACCTGTGCACTGCTGCTGTGGAAGACAGTGCAGTGGTTCATCAAAAAGTAAATGTAGAATTACCAGATATCCAGAAATTTTACCTCTGCACGTATAGTGAAAAGAATTGAAAGCAGGGACTTGAAGAGACATGTGCACACCCGTGTTCACAGCAGCATTGTTCTCAACAGCCAGAAAGTGGAAGCAGCCTAGTGTCCATTGACAGATTAATGGATAAACAAAATGTGGTCTGTTCATACAGTGGAATATTATTCTGCCTTATAAAGGAAGGACATCCTGACACATGCTACGGCATGGATGGACCTTGAGGACATCGTGCTGAGTAAATAAGCCGGTCACAAAAGGACAAAGACTGTGTGATTCCACTCATATGACCTCCCTAGAGTATCAAAATCAGAGACAGAAAGTAGAGTGGGGGTTTCCCAGGGCTACGGGGGGAGGAATGGGGCTAGTGTTTAATGGGCACAGTTTCAGTTTTGCCAGATGGAGTGAGTCCTGGAGATCGGGTGCATGTGTAAATGTAATTAACACACTGAACTGTACACCTAAAAGTTGCTAAAGTGGTAAATGTTATTTTACCACAGTTAGATAATTTTTAAAAAGTAATGCATATTGTAACTGTAGAGCATATTTTCTCAACTTTAGCACTACTGAATTTTTTGTACTAGATTATTCTGTGTTGTGGGGCTGTCCTGTGCATTGTAGGATGTTTAGCAGCATCCCTCGCCTCCACCCACAAGATGCCAGTAGTCTCGTCCCCCGTCCCCCATCCCCCAGTTATAATCTAACACATCTCCAGACACTGTCAGATGTTCCCTGGGGATTATGGGGGGGAATAGCCCCTGGTTAAGAACTACTGTTCTAGATCATGCACTGCAAAAGTAACACGTAGAAGCAGAACTCAAAGTTAAATAAGATAGAGAATGGGATACTAAAAGTAAATTATTTTGCCAATTAGAAAAGTCAGAACAGGAGTAGCAAAGGAAAATAAGCAGACCTGATGAATAGAAATTGAGCGCCAAGATGGTAGGATGAAACCTAAGCAGAAACTGACAGAGCTGGGAGGAGACACAGATAGACCCGCAATTCTGCTTGGAGCACTCTACCTCCCCTCACAGTAAGGGGTGGAACAAATGGGATGAAGGATACGGATGACTAGAACAACGCTGTGACCAGCTAGACCTGACTGACACTTGTAGGACACTCCCTCCAGCAGCAGCAGAGTGCACACTCTTCTTGTGTGCACATGAGCATCTTCCAAGACAGACTGTATTTTGGGCGATAAATCAGCTCTCAGTACACTGAAAAGCATTAAGTCGTGCAGAGTATGTATGTTCCTTAACCACAGTTGAGCTAACAAGTTGATATCTTTTTTTTTTTTTTTTTT